TGACTTAAGAATAACTGAGAAGAGGCAAAATTCATTTATCTTAGCTTCAGCCATCTGGAACTAAAGTGAACTAAATTAACTGAATTAAACTATTTCCCTAGGCTCTCTGAAGTCAGGGCAATGTAACACACCCTAAAATAGATGCTAAATGTGTGGTTTCATAATCTTTAAAGCTCATAAACCACCATCCTTGCCACAACAGACTGTTCTCCACCTCCATGCTTGCCACTGCTTCTATCTTTTGTGCTGACAGTCATGTAAGTAAACAGTAAACTGCACTGGCAAACCGAATAGGTTAAAAATTAGCTGGCAAAGGTAAAACATTAATTTAACCACAGTTGAATTCACCATGTGGCTGCACAAATCCCCAGCACAACAAAAGGGGCCAAACTACTTTGGTATCGTGGCAATGCCAGCTTATGCTTGAGTAAAGCTGTAATGTACCTAGAGAAGATGATGGGCAGTATGATTCCCTTTACATTTCTCTCTCTCTCTAGTGCGGACTGTTAGGAAAATCAATTTAGTGAGATTAGACTAAATGTCCTTTATATAAAACTAAAGTTAAAGGAAATGACTAGTTAGGTGTACTATGTGTCTGTCTAGTACAGTCCTAACTGTATTAAAATATTCAACCCAACAAATCAACGTTTCTTAAAAACAAAGGACCAAAAGGAAATGAAATAGTTATCTGCATAAACAGAAAAGTAACTTTTTTGTTCGTGAAATACAAGCTCCCCCTCATGGCCAGACCATAACATGCATCATTCATCCATAAAACCAAAATCTGCAAATTCTGTGGGTAAAAAGGAGGATTCACTTATTCACTTTTATCAGCTTCAAATAGCATTCACAATATAATTATAAAAATTAAAATCAAAGCCAAACAATTCATTACATTTTCCAAATTCACTTAGTACTTCAAATATTCTGTAGTGTATGTAGCAAAGCACAAGAAATGGATTTTTTAAAAGTCATTGTAAGTGTCTATGACACTTTTAGCTCAGGATTTCTAAAAAGACTTGGACAAAGAGTGATTAAAATACTCCTCAAACTTCTGTCCTAACAGTTTAGCACTATTCCTGGAAGATAATTATATGATGCTAATGTATTTTAATGGATTATTGGGAAATAACTAGGAAATCACAACAAACAGAAGATCCATATTAGCTCTGCTCTTCCTAAACTTTTGTCACTGGCAAACTTATATTTACATAGGTATTAGCAAACATGCACTTACCATTATAATGCTGTACCACATTCAGATGTTATTGGTATCAAACAAATTTCCATATAATTTATGGAAGTAAATGGACTCTTACAAGAAGCTAATTTAACTTCTTATATTTTCTATTGCTTGTGTTATCAATATTTCTCCTTCAACATTCATGCAGAACACAAAATAACACACGAAGTCAAAATTCACCTTAGAGCATAGCAGAAACCAAACAATCTTGAAGTAGCAAACCAGTAATTCTGTAATAAACTAAACTTAGGTCTTGCAAAAAACAAACCAGCTACAGAATCTCTCTTAACTGTTCCATAGACAACAACAGAATGATTAACATCCTGCAGGCAATACTGTGTATTTTTTTTTTCTTTCTGCCAGCTTCAGTTCTAAAATTTCAGTTTTCTAGGGACACAAGTTGTATCACAGGCAAGCTGTACTGGGAGCCAGAATAAACTTGTGACAATTAATTCTGTCAAACATATATAACCTTACAGCAGTATATATGAAGAGTTGATAGCAATCTTCACACAGATCCTGACAATAGCAGCCAAGCAGAAAAGAGTTTCCAATATTTTCTCTTGTGGCTGTCTCTCTAAAATTGTGTATTCAGGATACTATCCACAAAGCAGGAATACTAGCCATAATTTTGACATACAGCCTTTTTTGAATTAATATACGAAATGTATTACAGAAAATAAACTCAACAGCACATTTCTGCTAATATGATTCTTTACATTAGAAGGTGTATTTATTGTGTGAAGTACAGCCCAGAAAGTACTACATGGGTCGTTTCCCCAAAATGCCTTCAGTAGGAGGTTTGGCCCTTAGAGGACTGTTTGCTAATGTTTTGTAAAAACTGTATGCAAACTAAAATGTGTTGCAATTAACTCTGTAAGTATACTCTTAAGTTAAAGGAAATATACATGTGATACACTTGGGGGAGGGGGGAGAATCCTAATGACTCTCTTGTTTACCTCATCAGTTCTGAAGAGTTTACATGGATTCTTTCGTTTAGTATTATTTCATATTTCAAATTGCACTGCCCTGAAAGACATTTGTGTAATAAGAAATAATCTATTTTTATCAGGTTATTTATAGGAAGTTCTTTGCAATTTAATCTAATGAAGATATACATAGAAACTACTTAGTATATTCATTTTCTTCCTACTCACACCTGGCCTTTCCCCTAATTTAATATGTAACTAAGCTAACTTTTGAAACATACTTTATAATCTTCAGTGTTACATAATTACAGACCTAAAGACTTTTTTTCTGGCACAAGCCTCAATACAAAAACTGAATTTGCTTTCATGAATTATAGGTTACCTGTTAGGAAATAATAACAGCAATTCCAGGAAGGCACAAAAACATACTCTGAAATCAGCAGCAATTCAGAAGTTATGGCTATGACAGTCACTAAGAAGTGTTAAGACACCATGTTTCAGAACTAAACCCAGACAAAACAAACATCACCTCATAAGTCTAGAGAATGAACGACAGGCCTAAGGCCAAAAAATGATCCACTGACTTGGCAAAAGTAAGCACTGAAATATGAGACACTTTTACTAAACAGCAGTGTTAAGTGCAAATAATATTTGCTGTAGTTCTAATATAAATGAAGAATGCTCACTAGTGAGTATCAGTAGTAACGCTTTACAAAGAAAACATAGGTTTGCTTGTTTGCTAAATTTGACTGTACTATGCAGTTTGCTTACTAGGAAGGACTATCAAACTGAAAAACAAAGGTTGAAATCTGATCTCATCATTACTTGTCTAATCCTGATTAAAATCTGGTTCACTAGTCTCAGATGTGTAGAAAATCACTTAAAATGAACTCCTTTATTTCCTGTACTTAAAAGATATTTGGCTCTCCACGTCTAGCAACTTCAATTATTTTGGAGTTCTTAACCATAAACTTCTCAAAATCATAAGTTACTGTCACTAACAGGAGCCATTCATCTCCCTTCACAAGAGGTATTGAAAGGGAATGCAGTTTATGACTTATCTCACTATTTATAAAACAGGATACTTACAATATTCTGTCACCTTTAAAAAAAATCTAACGACAAACTTGAAGACAAGTATGAGGAAGCATATCGTCCAAAGGACTGAAGAAATACTTGGTAGATTCAATCTTTGAAATAATTATGGGATTATTTGACAGCCAAAGCCTCCCTGGAACTGTAAGAACTGTTCAATTTCTACCATACTGAATGTTAGAAATACTTCTCTATCGAGCGCTGCTTAAAATAATAAAGCATTGCCCAATAACAGCATAAGCAATTTGGTAAGTTGAAAAGTTCACAGTCTTCTATTCAACCTTTCTTTAAAACACAAGTTAAAAAATACTAGACATTTTCTAAAGGCACTTCAGAAATTAAACTAATGAAATGCTAGAGAAAGCACTGTATAAAGACTTTTTCCATTTTTTCTCTGTACTGGACTGCAAAGAGGTAGCGTGACAGCAGCAGTCTTTGCTACTCTGCAAAATGTCCTATATGGGTTATTGCACTATTAAAAAATGATGTGACTTCACATTCCTCAGAGCACAAAAGATAATTCATCAATACTGAAAAACTCTTTTAAAGAGTCTTTCCAAGGAATAGTTGGAATTGCCAGGATAGTTTTAAAGGACACCAACGAATTACAGACAGTACTGTTCTCTGAAAATTTTTATTTACTATCTGTAAACAACATAGTTTAAGTATAGACTCAGAGACAAAAAACTCCACTCTACCTTGTTTTGGTCCAGGTACTGACTGCTCTTTCTCAGCTGGAATTTATACTGCTTTTAATTTATAAATTCCTACTGACTTGAACTGCATCTTTAGATGCATTTTATCTGACTGGCAAAGGCAGTGGCCTTAGCTCCACTGTTAAGACAGAACTGAGAGTTTTGCTCTTGAAGTGAACATGTGGGTGCACATGCATAGTAGCATGTACCTGCTACATCTTTCAGTAACTTCGTAATTGCTAAAGGCATTTAACATTGAACAAGCCACAGACTGGTTCCACAACTGCTCCAAAACAAATTTCAGGTTAAAGCAGCATGGAATCCAACTCCATTACTCTGGCAAACGAGTCATGTCCTTCTCCTGAATTCCCCTTATCCTCCAGGGGTGCAGAGAAAGTCCAGATTTTACTTTATACATATATGGAAGTGTATGTATAAAGTACATATACATACCTATACATGTATGTGTGTGTGTATAGGCACTTATACATGTGGGAGTGGTAAGTTACAGTTAATTCACTGAGATGTAAGAGTGATACGTATAACATACAGGAAACACAAAACTTAAAGACTTCCCAGACCACGGAAGAGGAAAGCACATCACTGTCTCTCAGTGTGAACAGCATGAACACAAAGGAGAGAACTATGTAACTCTGCAAGTCAGGTAAATGCATCACAGATACAGTTCTTAAAGTCAGTAAGTATGAATATACAAATCAAAAGGGGTATAAATATCAGCTGAGAAACAGCAGACAGTACTTGGACTAAACCAAGGGAGAACAGAATCTTTATATCCATCTACAAGCCTGCACTATGTTTTTTTACATATATTAAATAAAAAGAGATCAGAGAACAGCACTGGCTGTAATTAATTAATATCCTTTTGAACTATGCTGGGAAATTTGTTATGTAGCCTTTGCAGTTGTTAAAGGGAAATTAATGTTGACTAAATTAGCACCAACTTATCTTTGTGCCCCATTCTCATCTACTTTGTCAAAAAGTCTTTAAAAGCACTTAAACTAGATTGACAAGTTATACCTGCTATTTCCGCAAGTATAGTGGTATGATCATTTTCTGCCAGCTTCACAAATCCAACTTCATTTTTGAAGTGATCGATTCCTTGGAAAGACAAATCCACGGTTTTTCCTTTCAGGCGATCTTCTACAAAATCCTTGCTATCTGAAAGAGCACCAACTGCTCTGTCAAGAGGAAAGAAAATATCTATGTGAAAGTCAAATATATTAATACTGTTTACATTGCTGTTAATCTTTATATCAAAAAATCTCACAAAGTTTTATTAGTATCAATTTATTATCTACTCAGGTACTTTTGCACTACTTCCTATCAATGCAGTCAGTATTATTATTACCATTTTATAAAGGTAAACTGATTCATGCACCCTGCTGTAAAACCACAGAAATAATAAGGCAGACCTAGCAGCAGGTGTAATTCATCAGAAGAGTTTATCTCAGTCCTCATGGTGACTAGATATTAACATGATACTGTGCATCTCATTCAAATAAGATACTTACTCAGAAGCATTTAGTTTTCCATTCTTAAATTAATTAATTTTTTTCATCTCCTGATAGCTCAGCTGAACACTCTAAGATTCTGCTTAATTCAAAGTTACTACAGAGTGTTACTTAATATTATAAACAGAGGTTAGTGACATTATATACATATAATGATAAAATTATATGGAAATTACTATTAAGATCATTGAGAACTGTTATTAAATAACTACTATCTAAATTGATGCTTACTTTCTTTAAGAGATAAGTAGCATGCACACATAATCTACATGTAAGTTAAGAAACAGGAGCAAGCCTGGTAACCTTTTAATAATAATTTTAATTAGCCACATTAAGTGTATGTACGATTACATGAAATATTTAGTTTGACTTGCACTTGAAGTGATTCATGTGCTAAACAAAAACTATGTAAACATTCTTAGTGTCTTCTAAAAGATCTCTCACATGCTCACAGTTTTTAATTCTATTCAACGAATACGAATTTAAACTTTTCACTAAACCAATGTTGACTTTATAAACGCTAGATGGCAGTAACAGGTTAAAAACTCCAACAGAGTTTATTTTACTTTTTCTGTCCTAGCTGGATGAAAGCCATCACCACAATTTCTAAAGTAGGTTAAATTATATTCTTTAAGCCTGTACAATTACAAACAACTCTACACACGTTTCCATTGTGTTTAACAAGATGGACTCTTGATGATATGCATTTAATTGAAACCTAGGCCAGGTTAAGAAAGACGTTAAGGTTGATTACATGACAAAATATCCTTGATTGATATAGTCCACCTGTGGGTTTTTTATAGGACTTTAATCTACAGCCTAGATGTACTTTAGCTCCTATATAACCAATTTAAACAACAATGCCATTACTTGTTCCTTGACAAAGATACTTTTTTTTGAACATAGTCTCTGCCACTTACCTACCTTTTTATCACCATTAGACAAGCCCATTCCTGTGTCTTTCGTAAGTGCTATACTTCAAGACCTTTCAAAAACACCATCTAATACTGGCTATACCTGTCAGATTACTTCACAGGTAATCATGTGTAGATTTATTTACCAACAAGAACCTGGAAATTGTTCCAAGACAAGTACAGATATTTCAAATACACTGTGTCAAAGATTGCAGTGGGCTTTCAGGTAGTGAATCATGCACAAACCTAAAACCCAGCTCTGGATTTTTTTGCATCTGAGAACTGCTATACAGAGAGTCATGGGAAGCTCTGTTCCCCAGCTGAACAAAGATTTGTATTGCCATACTGTAGGGTGTGCTGCAGAACACACCGACCAGCTTAACTCTACCTGATGAGGTCTATGAAAGGTTAATTCAAACAGTACAGTGTGTTTTCAGTTTAGCACTGTGTCACTGAAGATTTAGTTGTACTTTTATATATAATCTTGTAAACACTAAAATATTTAGAAAAATAATTGTCATCTCACTCTAGCATACTTTGTATTTTCATATTCTGTCAATCACTTTATAACGTCTAACAATTGCTTTGTAAGACTAATGCACAAGGACAAACATTTCCACTGAAGCCAATAGCAAAAAACACAACAGTGGTATTATCTTGTTATTCCATATCAGACAGCATTTACAATGCCAAATAGTAGTTACATTCAGTGCAACTAACCCACAGGGATAACAAAAAGTTTACCAGCATTTTGGTCCAAAGTGGAGAAAGGAAATAAAAAAGAGAATTAAGCAGCATATTCTAAGTGAATACAAACGAGGATTATAGAAGCAATCCCTGGGTTTTTTCTATATTGTTGTAATGTAAATTTTAAAGCACTTAAAATTGATGTAGTTTCTTTTCAGAAATTTCTGAACTTTTAATTTTGATTACTTGTTAGAAAAAGCAACCTTGCAAAAAAAGCCAAACTGAACCCTTTCAGCTCTCACATGTATAATGAAAAGGTTAGGTTCATAGTCTTTGACAGATAACAAGCAAGAAGAACTTGACACTATAGTCTGGTAATGAAGGCATTTACTGCGAAGGCAGGCATCCTGATTTCTAGTACCTGATCCCATGACTATGCATACAGTTAGCAAGGACTAGAACTCCTTTGCTTGAAGGGAGTGCTGTCATGACTCTTTCTTGCTTGCTTTCTTTATGGTTTTTAAAATCTCACATTCTTGATTATTCATATAGTCCTACAAAAAGAGATGTAAAGCGCATTCATGAAGGCTAGACCGCAGCCAACAGTTAGGAAACTTGCATGGGAATTACAGGTCTGCATTCCCTTAGAAAGAGCGGCCTAGAATACAGATCTTCCATTTTCAGGGTGAAAGCTGTATGTACTAATACCATACAAAGGGCTTTGTGCTGAATTGAATGTTACGTTTAGCACATTCTTATCACGCGTTTTGACTTCAAATAGTGTTCAACACATTTCATTTCTGTATAGACAGAGGCACTATTGTGCAAATACAGTAGAAAAACTGCAGATATCTAAACAACTTAATGGATCCAAACCTAAGGATCTGTGAACTCTCAGATGCCCAGTTGACTAGCTGCACTTTATTTGAGGGATTACTCTCACCCTGTTACACACAGGTTCTTTTGCCAGCTTGGATCTTGGTTTCTTTCCATTAATCTGGTATCAAAAATTGGTGAAGCAAAGAAAGGAAAATTCAACTTTTTACCTTCAAGTTCTCCCAAAAGATTAAACAGAAAACACCAGTTATGAAAAAAAAAGTAAGAATCCCGTATAATAGAAAATGCGATCTAGAATACCTGAGGATAGCTGAGCTAGATACCTGTAGGAGGCATCTGGCCAGGGAAGGGGTGAATCACTGGGGAAGCTGCTGCTGACTAGAGGACAGCTCCTGGGTGCCTGGACTGTGGAGTTCTGCTGGGAGAGGCAGAGAAGAACTCCGTAAGTAAGTGCTTGGCTGGCAGTCGGACAGTGAGAGCCAAGAAGGAGCTCAACGAGTAGCAGAAGATACTGAATTTTAGAATATTTGTTTTGATATACAGTTTAGGACTCTAAAAAATATTCATGAGCAGGCATACTTGTCTTTGAGATATCCTCTCACATTCCCTTTTTAAAAAGTTTGTACTTCAAACCCTTTTTAAAAAAATCTTGCACACACAGTCGGTGGTTGTTCTCACCGATTTTCAGGTGCTACCACAGTCTGCTCATCAACCAGGGCAGGAGGAAGCTGGTGTGCCTACTCCAGGAGAGAAAAGGCACATGGGGAGGAGAGGGAGTCCAGCAGATCTAGTATCCTTTTCTTTCCTTTCTAGTCTCTGTTCCTGGCTATCTGTTTCTCTCCCTTTAGATCAGGCTGTTGAAGACGAGGATGCTGACAGACTCACATCCTCACGGGAGAGGTAAGAGTGTAGAGGCCTCAAAGATAGAGCATTCAAGGAAACAAGTGTGAAAAACAAGCAGGGCAATTGATTTAGATATACCAATAACTCACTATTTTTAGGTGTGTTAAATGTTTTTAGCGAAAATACTTCTACTTATTAGAAGCATGCCCTTGACTATCAAACGGTTCCTAGATTCTACCTTGGATTCTTGCTTTCTTGTGAGCAATCTGCACTTTAACCTTCTGGGGGAAAAAGGTATTCAACACACACTTATTAGCCACATTATTTTGTAACTGTATTACCACAGCCAAAGCAATGTCTCATTGCACTTATTCATTATTTGATCTAGACAATTCAGTACTGGACTGCATGCCTGCTAACACTGCAGAGGAAACCAGTAAGATAGATAGATAGATAGATAGATATACATATATGACAGAGGGCCCCTGAAAGAACTCATCTGGGGAAGATGAAACTGTGAGGCTTCTCTTTCACAAAATTATAAGGACCTGATGAATTTTGATTCATTAGCAATTCACTACAAAATTGACACATAAGCAATGGAGGATTCCCAGATGTTCATATAATGCCAGTAGGCCATTTATCAGCATTTTACATAATACTCTATTACCAAAGAGTTTGCAATCTCAATTCTGCAATTATAACATGTGAATATAGAGACATCACATATGCAGGCCATTGGGCACCACATCTAAAAAGAAACTATTGAGAAAGTCTGTGTAAAGCAGGACTATAAAATACAATGTACGTTTTCATTCAAAGTCAAAATTACAGCTAGACAACACAAATTATTATTCTGAACATTCATAAATTACAGCTGTATAGATAGACTTAAAAAGTCTGAACATCTTCGTATTAACCATTGAATGTTAAAGTAGGCTTGTCAGATAGCAGTACAGCATGTGATGAACAGTAAAAAACACCAGAGAACTGCATTTTTATAAAGCAAGCAGTTGCATCTAACATTTAGACATATGATGTCATCGTATAACATATATGCCTTTCCACAACTTTTCTACCTTTTATATGATCAAAAAAATCAGCTACATCACTGAAGCAACATAAAAATTATACTTTTGATAAGGCTTAATAGCCCCCTCTCTTTTAGTGTACTTAAATTCACTTAGGAATATTAAAAAAAAACTGTAACTGCATGAGACATTAGCTTGGAGCTAAGGTTTATTCCATTAAAGCCTTTCAGTGGCAATTACTAATTTGGCTTATAACATTTGCTAAGCTATGAAATTCTGAAAATTCCGCTGTTAATCTGTTCAGTGTCCCCTATATAAAAACATTGTTTTAAAATAATTACTTTAGCAAACATGAGATTTGTGCATGCAAGCTCAGCAGACAGTAAGAAAAACGCAAGGGAGAAAGCATACTTTGTTCAGAGCTCATGGCATACCATAAGTTATGAAAATGGCTAATATTAAGATTAGCATTTTAAGAACAACATGAATTAAATGTTCGGTAACCCTAGTAATTTTGGGCTGTGTATTGCAAAAAATAAGCATCAGCTACCCCTTCTAGTCTTTTTATGAACTCCACCAGCAAATATACTTTCATATACTTAATTTAACACCAAATACCTACACGCTAATTTCTTCTTCATTGGATAAATGCATCACTAGCATGGTGACATGCAACGAGCCAGAGTGAACCATTGCTTTGGAAAGCCTTTGATCCTTTTGTATTATTGCATCTTGGACAGCCTGAATACTGCCAGTAATCTGGGAAGAAAGACAGACACAGAAACAACAGTTAGCCATTACAATTACTGTATCCCATCATGCAAGTGAACAAGAAAGTGCACAAACTGAAATCAAATGTTTATGTAGAAACCATTTTAGCAGAAGAAAGTTTTATCCTCTGACAAAGCTGTGCTAATTGACCTGAGTAAACCCAAAGTGGGTACAAAGAGAGTGATTAATAAAGCACTGGACACCCCCCATCACATCTTCATAGCAGTTTGCTTCCATAAGTATGATAAATTCCTGGAGCAGATTAAGATCATCCAGTTTCACACTGCCAGTAATCCAAACAAAAGGCGTCTTCAAGGACTTTCTCTGCCCGGTTTACTAAACTTGTATGTTGCTATGTGCAGATGAGTGTCCAGAAAAAGAAGAGATCTTTGCAGGATTGGACACATACAAAACAAATTCAGTAAATAATTTGTAGAGATATCCGATTTACAATTCTGATTATACTGCCCAGTAGACAGATATAATTTATATACTCTCTTCAAACTTATTTTAATGAATTTCCATAGAACATGTATACAGTTCTAACTTCATCAGTCTTTTTCTTTAAAATTATTTGAATTACATTTTCTTAATTGAAAATTATTTGTATGGTTATACATGCTTTATAAATTGTACCCAAAATGTTTTCTGTGCTTGCCATTATGATCATTGTATTGTACTGATTTAAAAAAACAAAACAAAAACAAAACCCAAAAAACTCTGCAACTATTCTTGAATATGTTAGTTGAAATGAAATCAAATCCAATAGCCTTGACCATCTGACAAAATGATTTATTTTTTAAAGCATTGTAAGCAAAGACGTTACAGGCAAATTAGCTTTGGTGTAAAAAGTCAAAAAGAAGCATGTGGAAAACTTCAATCATCTTTTTCTTTATTTGAAACTCAGTGGCGAATGCTTCACACATATACTATACATACTGACTTCTTTTATAACATAAGCACAAGTAGCTCTTAGGTTAAAAAAAAAAAAAAGCATTGATATATTTTGGTAGCTCTGTTAATCATAAGGAACATATAAATCTCCTGAAAAAACACAATCTAATGGGAGTGGTCAGTATTTTTCTGATTGAATTTTTTAAGATGAGTTTTGCCATGTAGGAGTTTTACCTAATCATAGATATCTAGTAGTGCTATATAAATAAAACCAAATTATAACTGAAAGAAACCAACTCTAGAGAGGGTGGGGAGGAAGAAAGACGGTAAAAGCCACTTGCCGGAAAGAGGTGATATGGCATCTACAAAACCACAAGCGTCTTAGGTAGTGTAAGACATATGAAGAAAATTCCACCAATATTTTGGTCATAAATCATGTTGTAATAAAACCACTTTCCTTCATATGTCAGAACTGATCTTATCCTGGATAAATAACACTTTTATTGTCTCAGATGTAGGAGAAATTTAACCAACATTTAAACAAAAACCAGATAAACACAATCCTTGGTAATTACAATGTATTGACTGCATAATTATTCAAGTTTATGAACTAAAGCAAATGAAGCTATCCCCGTAAAGAAAAAAAACCACCAAACCTCAAAAATGAAATCACCTATCATATGAATTACAATTTTATTCCATTTTCACCTATTGCTTCTAAATTTAATTTGTACCTGAGAGCTGGTGAAGAAAAAAAATATAAATGTAAGCATACAAGCCCTTCAGAATACAGAAGACAGGTGCGGAACTGTGTTATCATAGGGGTAAGACCACCCTAGCTCTGAAAAAGATCAGTGATGTTATTCAGCATTCAGATTAGCAGCCAATACCCCACATCCCCTTACCCATAAAGCTTCCTCCTGCAGTACTTCTGAGTCCCTTCCTGCTCATGTCCTAAACTACCTCCAGCTCCCTCATAAAGTTCAGTTCTGGTCTGGGCAAGAAACAACACATGCTGTGGCTGATTTTCAGCTCTAAGGGGTTGACTGGCTAACAAACATGCAGATATTCATTCATCATCTGGCAGGTCTAGAAGAACAGGTAATTGCCACAGTCACACTACAGTCTTCAACACAAGCATGTTCTTTCATGGCTCTCTCTTTTATGCAAGCACCGACTCCACAAAAAATTGCAGGAAATTAGTACCTCTGAGATGTCAATTTTTTTATCCAAATTCGGACAACAGGTTGAAAACCCACAGCAGGTTCAAAACCCACAAAAACCCAATGGGCTTATAACAAGGCAAACAGATAGGCAGGCTCACACCTGTATAAACTCCATTAGGAAACCAAGCTAAAAACCTAACGAATAACATACCTTTGGGAAGAGGATTAATTCCAAAGATGGCCAGTTAGCAGTTCCAGAGACAAGCTATTGCTGAACCCACCAGGAAAGTATGAAATGAGCTGCCTTTTTCATAAAGGCAAAATAGAAAGCAGACTGAGCACGTTCTCTCTCTCTGGCTAAGTGACAACATTCTACACAATCTACACTATTTGGAAAGAAGAAAAAGTTTTCAAGTACATTTTTGTGAATTTCAGGAATTTATTTTTAATATGTTTTCCCAGACGTTATGTGATCAAATCGTAACACATTAGCTGTAGCATAGCTATGCCATCACAATGCATAATATAACTTCAGATTCATTATGTTTTCTTCAATAAATCTAAGGTCCAATTAACATTTGAGTGTGCTGAATTTCAATTAAGCGAACCAGGACTCTTCCTACATCTCTGTACAACTAGTTATGACCCACTGCATAAATAAAAAATTTAAATTGCTATTTAACCTGCTATTTACGTTACCTTACAAAGTTTTATGTTACATTTGAACTGCTATGATGCGATTTTTTTTGAGATTTCCTAACTTAACTGAAAGAAATGTCTGAAGGCAGATCATACTCAACCATTGCCCCCTCAGATTATTTTCAAAAGTGCTCCAAAATAAGGCCTTAAATACTGATTTCAAGGTCCCTTCTCCCATTACTTGGATTATGTTTTTCTGAAGAATAATAAAATAACATAGCTTTGCTTATTGCAAGGATACTACTAGTAAGTGAATACAAAGACTGTAAGCTTTAAAGATTTAGCAGATTAATTATAATCAAGACTGGAGGACCCTGAAAGGCTAACCTACCAAGTGATAACACATCAGATGAAACACAACTTAAAAAAAATTTACCAGAAAGGGATACAATGATAATCATCCATTTAACTATTTTTGCACAAGTAATAATGAAAAGTTCAATATAAATCCAAAATTAATGGAACACCACATTTTATTTCTGAAGATTCAAAACACAATTAAAATGAAAACGAGGAAACTGTTTCATTTCCAAGAGGAACAGTTCATTAAATGTTCCAGAAATATCTCTTATTACAAAATGGTTCTCTGTGTAAAGCTTAAAACACCACATAAAATATGAAGAAAAAGTACTAATGCCTAAAACACTTCACTGGAATAAAATCAGATCCTCAAAAAGAGAAAGGTCTCTCATTACTAACTGAAATACTACCAGCAATTACCAGATTCCCTCTGGCTATCAAGAATCCAGGTGTCTTAAGTCTAAATTTTGGCTAATGTTGCCTATACAAATTCCAACGTGTATTTTCTACTTTCAGAACAACTCTACATCTAAGACAAGTATAAACAAAACTTTCTAGCAAAGTCCTGGAATTCCCAAATGCTCTGAGATTTAATATAGTTGTTCCCTTACCTCAGTAAATTATATAAGACTAAATACATGACATAAAAAAGCATGCATAGTTAAGACTTTTCCAATTAACCAGCCATTCAACGTAAGAACAAACATGAGCAGAAATTCTCAATTATCAGATTATATAACCCCTACATTATTCTTGTACTTGTTAAATCATGGAACAGACAGGAAAAAAAAGATATTTCAGGGTAAGATGATACAAAAGATCCCCCACAATATTCCTGTCAGGATGTCCTGGATCTTACAAAACCAGCCTCTACAATCTCTTCTTCACATAGTATGTTTTGAAGAATCAAAGACTGCACTGTAATTTTCAAACCTACTTTGGTTTATTTTCATTTTGGATTCTCTTAATCTTTGACTTTCTCAGAGAACAGATAGTACAGATGTAGGATGAGTTAAAATTCACCTGAGATAGCTCCTGGTATTAAAAAATAAACCCAAATTTGGAGATGGTGGTAAACTGTTGGGTTTAACTTTTTAAACATAATCCATTTACTTGCCTTGTTTGCAGACACAAAAGGTATCGAAGCTGTACCAGAAACATCGCACAGCATGAAAGAAATCATTCTCATTCACTGCCTGAGACAACACATGCCAACTACAAGAAAATACATTTTCTTAAAGAGCTCTCTGCACTTCTTGAATCCATTTGAACAACATCTCACTAAAATAATAGGTTGTTTGAATTTTAAATAAGATTATCAATTTTACTGGAAAATGTTAAACTACAAACTGCCTAGTTAAAACAGCAGTACATCCAACTTTAAATTCCTATCTATAAGGAGAGCTAAAAATATTGGTAGTGATTTTCTTATTAAATTAAATAGGAATGTCTCTCTTCCTTATTCTAAGTGAATGACAAAATAAGCAATACTGGAACAGTACAGAGGGGAAATTTAAGCCAGCTTCAGTCAAAATTATGTGAAATCCGTAAGACTGAAAAACTGAACAAAAAGATAATATTTTTCCTCTAGTCTTTCCCAGAAAAGCAATTTTATTCACAAAAATGTTACTTAAAATAAAGTTACTCTCTGATTAGGCTGCTAATGTTCCTTTAAAAAATCTGAAAAAAAATTATTTTGCTCAAGATCAAACACTGTTCTTCTTATAAACACATGCAGCTGTTGAAGTAATTCTGGTTATACCAAATTAGTATAATAAAGAATATCACCTCTGGATTGGTAATTGGAAGAGAAATGAAATAATTTGGCTGATACTGTTTTTTCTTTTTCTTCTTTCTCTCACTGCCTTCTTCAATTTCCCTTCCAGTAGTCCTCTTTCTTTTCTTTTTTGTATTTATTTCAGAGGTTGCATGCACTGAAGAGAAAAAAAAATTACTTTCAGCATACAGACAAATCAAAATGAAGATACACTTACTATCATGCCAACAGGAGCTGGACTTCGGTCAGCTGACTGGAGCATGTCTTCCCAGTCATCAGATCTGCCCATGCTCTGAACTGTTTGATTGGGATCCTACTCCAACCTGAATTAATATAGTCATACAAGTGGAGTACCATACTTCAACTAACAGCCTACACCTCTAAGCGGGGCTTATAAACTGCTAACATAGACACACAGCTTCCAAACTACTGTGTTTCATTTAGCCAACTCACACTGCAGTGTAATAGGCCTGCAAATTGTCTACACTTGAATATGGACATGACTTCAGAGCAAAAGGACCAACATTACGTTTCAAAAATCCCATGCATGCTGCATTTTGAAATATAAAACATGGTAATACATAGGATTATTAAGGGAAAAGGTTGTATTAGACTAGGACTGGCCAACCTATAGTTCAAGGACCAAACTCAGCCCAGAAGAAAATTTAATCCAAGCCAGATCTACTGTCTACCTCCTCCTTTGCCAAAGACACGTTCCCACATAGCAAATGAAAACTGCATGTCCTCAATTCTTCCTTTGCACCATAAATTATTTTTCTCCTAGCTTATTTCCTCAGGACTTTGCAGACCCTCTCCCACCATGTGGCCTGATACATACACATAAACTGACCAGACTGCAGACATCCACTGTCCAATTAAAGGTGCACTTCTAGCCACATGCTTGGATACACATATTGGAAGATAGCTCATAAAAGCCACCACTTGAGAAGCTCATATACAGTAATGTGAATTGACATATGAGATGTCTTTATTCTGTGACTCATTGCTGCAATGGATCACAAAGTGGTAAATTTTTAATATGTTCAAGTATTTGCAAGACTGAGTACTAATAAGAGAGGCTCTGGGCTGGATCCTGCTTGCAGGGAGACTCTGCTCCATGTGCTAGGCCCACTTGTACACGCCAACAGGCAGGACCAAGAACTGAGTGCGTGATGTGTCTATGCTTCCACACTTCTCTTTAATATACTTACTAACAAATTCATCTTCAATATCTGTGTCAACAAACGGCATTTCTGCCATCAGAGATTCTACCGAATCAGCATGACATGGCTCTTTTCTCTGTTGTGTCCTTTTCTTATTCTCCTTAAAGATTTTCTTTTGCTGTACATTTTCCAGCCCATCTGTAATATATTTAAAACAACACACTGGATCTTAGTTTTTTATATAACCAGCTAAGAGACATCATACACAAGCAATATATCAAGTATACATTACTCCAGTTATCAGCAAAAGGATATTGACATATAACCCCCTTAAGAATACTGCTCTTCTTCCTTGTCAACATATCAGCAAAAATACTTCCATGCTTTATGTGGAACAGCAAAAAAAGGGGGTTCAGCCTTCTGTATTTAATAACTTATGGTCTTGTTTGGTTCTAAGTAAATGCAATTATGTGCCAAAAAAAAGGGATACTTATAATTAAGCATGAAAAAATAAAGTCTTCGGACATCACGTAAAGTTCACTTTAGATAATAATAATGGCATATGAAATTCAGTGTGGACAAACACTGGCAAATTAATTCCAATGTAAACACACTGAAAATGAGGCACAGGAAGGGAATCCTACCATTTCACATATAACAAAGAGCTCTCATCTGACTGTATCATTCAGGAATGAGATGATTATTCTACTCCTGCATCTCCCACACAGTATAGCATGTTATAGACAGCAATGATCTGAACTTCTTATTCTAAAAACTGACTTTTAGTATTTAAGCTAAAGAAGGAATCAATATAAATCAAAGGAGGAATCAAAATAAAAAACTCATCTTGCATGTATAAAGATATACATGAAGTTCTATCTCAGAGTAATACCACAAAGACAGAATAATCTCCACTAAAAAGTCTTTAAAAATGTCTTTTTCCCCAAGAGTACTAAGCATGAGTCATTTCCTTATGTCTGCTTCGTGTTTCTGCATCAGTAAACTCCAATATTTGCGTATTAAGTTATACCTTAAAAAAAATGAAAAAGTAAAACCTTATCTAGCAGCAAAAAATGTGCACATAACCAGGCATCCAGCAATATTCTTTTGGGACAACTCCACAATGGGATTACTGTAGTGGAAGAAGCCTTATGTCAGAATTGCAGTTTATCCCAGGACAGCTCATTACTACAGACAACACACTTTCAAAGCTCCTCTTGTGACCAGTGCAGATAGTCCAAATCTGGCCCAAGGGGAAAATTTGGCAGCAGAAGTGCATATTATGTTCTTGTGGCATGCAAAGCTACACTACATGTATAAAATCAATATTACAGACCCAGTCTGGGTTATTATCACCCTGTGGAGTGTGCATATATCCCTTTATGCTAAGGAAGATAAGTAAAAGAACAACCTGATCAAATGCTAATTCACTCTAACCTAAAGTAGGGAGGCATAAATCACTCTGTGGTTGTGGTCTGACACCTAACTTTAACCCACAGGCTATTAAAAAGAAACAAAGTATTTAGATTTGTTGCTTGTTCCCCCTGTAGACACTAAAGAACTATGCACAGCAAACATGTTAAAGCAATGATAAAATTATTACTTAACGCTTAGATTGAAGTAAAGGTCATACAGAACAGATTGTTGCTGGTGAACCACAAGCATACAGCAAACAACAATCCTTCCTTCAAAGAGATCTCAAAGTGAAGGACAAGACAGAAAGCCATGAAACCGACAAACAAGTAGGCTAGTCTGGGTCAGTAACGTTATCAACAAGATTCAGAAATGCAGAATCATAACCAGCTGGGATCAAAAAGGATTTGTTAAGGCAGAATCAGCTGCAGAACAAGGACTCACATAAATCTGAGGGGTGTACATTGCAGATTATGCGTTTCCTTTGCTCTATCTGCTCAAAAAGCAACATACTTGTGCCACTTTGAAAAATTCTGTCTGCTCACAGTAGCAGATGGGCATAGCAAAGGCACAGCTAGTGACTAACAATGTCCCTTCTCAAATCAATTAGCTGAACCAAACAGGCACTGCTTCTAAATTCTACAGGTTGTGCCCCAAGCAAAAAAACTCCATCCTTCACCTTTTCTGAAATATTTATTAAAGAAATCAGCAACAAAATTCAAGAATCATGTTCTAGTCACTGAACCAACCTGAAAAAAAGATTTTTCAAAACTCTTGACATAATGCTGATAATCTGAGACCTAAGAAACAAAAGCAGCTTCCATGGGAACTCCTCAACCACCAAGCTGTTATAGGATAAACTCTTTTTTCTTAATTGCATGCTTAATTATATCAGACTGAATTTCATACATGAACAGGTGTATACACTATTCCTGTATTTGTATTTGTTTAAGTGGCTGCTGCTCTTCACCAGTATTTAAGTCATCTGTTCCAGCAGAAAAAATACCATGATACACCTAGCTCATAGAGGAGAGAATACAAAAACAAGGAGCAATAAAACATATTTGGTTGCATTCTGTTCCCAGCCCTCTTCTCTCCATACTCAGATTATAGTTTCAGATAGAATAATCTTCTATTATTTGACACCTACACATCACAGATCACAGTGAGATTAGGTCTCCAGGCACTGTTCCCTGTTTAATATGTTCATGTTAATATGTTTAATATGCTTATGTTCATATGTTTAATGACAAATTAATCCTTTGGAGACAATTTAACTGAAAGCTGCTGTAGAAATAGATGGTCTTACTCTCCAGGCATTTTGAACCTCCAGGGCTAGCACTAGTGTTTACACAGCCAGGGAACTGAAAAAGCTTAAAAAAAAACCAACAACCAAACACAAAAACCAAACCCTGGGGAAAAAAAATGGTAGATTTAGTATTCAGCCAGGTCAGATGCTTACACTGACTGACTGAAGGCCTGGGGAGAGAGCAGGGGCAGGCGGAGAAAAGACAAGACGACTTTTTAGCAACAACCCACAATTAGGTTGAATCATCTTCTCCTACTACCTTCCACGACGCCTCCTGTGAAACCCACCTCTTTGCCATTTGATCTCTCAATACGTGTGCACAAGCTAGAGTTTTCCCAGCCTCTCTGCCCGACGTGACCGCTTTAACGCCTAACGGACATCAGCAACGACCGGCCTCCCCCCCCCCCCCCCCCC